GAGCAACCTAAGTCCAGAAGGTGGTGCCACAGTTAAATAAATTGTACAGCATATGCAGCTGAAAGTTCAGACTATAGTTAGTTATTGTGTCATGCCAACACAAGTGCCCAGCCCACCTGAATGTATGAGAAACTAAAAAATGCTTTTGTGGTGGTGAAGCATTTGTCAGACATAAATATAACTTCACACATAACATTGCAAACAAAGAACTTTGTCTTCTGTCTCGTGCTCAACAAATAAAATTAGAAGAAGAACTCACCAGAAATTATGGACATTTTACTAAAAATAATATCCCTTAAATCATAGTATAATGAGCAATAAAACATGAAATGGTTCTCTTTAGGAAGACCAGTAAGCCTGCCTGCTTAAATAGCTAATAGTAATGTACCTGATGTAAATGTGCTCACAGAGATCTTTGACTTTTGGCTTTGACTGCTTCACACAGGGCTCTACACTCTAAGTCCTTAATTTAGGTTTGTATCAAACACACAGTGCATAACATTGTTTGTCCTTAAATGTCACTATATTATATTATTAAATGGGCATAATTCAATCAATGCCACAGACACACAAGATAAATAGTATTCTATAAGAATTAGTAGTGTTTGTAAGTTTGTAACTTAATGATGAATACTAACTATTGGTTGAGTTATACTGGCCACATCCTAAACATAACATGTTGTGTGTCCAGTTAAGTCTCACTAAAGTGTCCAGAGAAAAGTACTTTTTGTGTTATTTGTATGTATGCCTCCCCAGTGAGTCCATTCAGGGACCTTTTGTGGTCTTTTGCTGGGATAGAGTTCCCTCTGCGTGTAATTGGAGACGGCCTTACAGTCACGGTGGCCTCACAGTCATTTAAAGGGGGTTCACATGTCCATTTATCAGAGTTTTCTCAGCAGCTTTGCCCTTTGCCATATAAAGAACTGGGAAGAAGCAGTAATGATGGTGGCCCTGTTCCCCTATTTACCAGTTACATTATGTGTTATAGTAACAATAATTCGGTAAATGTAATCACATAAGAGGCAGTAATTAAAATATGAATATCAAAGAGAATTACAATATTATGGCAAGGCTTGTCATATACTTTAAATTACATACAAAATGCTCTAAGAAACTGTTGTGTTGCTACACTAATAATCTTTTCATCTAAATTCAGTTTTAACATTCAGTGCTACTGTCATGTCAGCTCTCTATTGAAACCTGCAATTCAGAGCAGCTTTTTTGTCCTTTCTTTCCTTTCACACATTGAATGAACAAGTTTCTGAATGTATCCCGTATCTGACATGCAGCAAGAAAGGCTCCCTCTAGGCCACTTTCCTAGAGGCAACTGTTCAAAGAGTCCATTTCATCTCTACATTGAGGAACCTCAATAGCAAAATCCATGGAGAGAATATAAAACAGAATGATTCAGCATTGTGGTGTATATTATTACTCTATTTTTACTTTACTTACTCTATTCTTTTTCCTTCCCAGAATTTGGATCCATTTTATAAAGCAAGGTTATGTGTTAATTTAAAGTTAATTTTAAGATGATTAGGCATGTTTTCTTTTGAAATGCAACTAATGACAACAAACTTTCAATCTGCTGCATTATGAAGCCCCAAAAGAACTTTTTTTCTGCTGCAGGCTTTGTAGAGTGATGTCAAAGGGGAGTGCCAGTCTGGATTACAGGCTGAGAAGATTGAGTAATCACTATGGAGACAGCTTTTATAGTTTTCCATTTGTTGGTCTTGTGTGGAAGTAATGCTGTGCAGTTTCCAGGACTTCTTTTTCCTGCCATGTCTGTTTTGTTTCACTTAGGGTCTTATTCTCTTGCTTGATTTTGCAATTATTAAGAAGTAAGAGGAATTTAGGAAGCAAACTTTATAATGGACTCCGCTGGACAATGGAGAAAATATACAATTCCGTTGTTTAATTTTCTGGTAAGTTGGCCTTTTAGCTCATATGTTGCAGCAGTGAGAGCAGGTCTTAGAGATAACTGATCAACATCTCAATCTGTTTTTAATTTTAATTGTTTATTAGATTTATAAGATTACAGTGCATTTAAACATGTGGAATATGTACAGACGGTGAAAATAAATCTCCCTGTAGTACTATTACAAATAAAAACTCATTTAAATGCTTCAAAAGTAGCCTATTTATGCCTCTTTTTTTTTTTTTTTTACTTTAACAAGAAACTCAGAGTCATTTCTTTTTTTTTCCTCAGGTGTTTATTACTACATCTTCTCAAGAACATTCATCTGGAAATACAGGGAATGTGAGCAGTGAGAGGCAGTTTGCAGATAGCGTCTTAGGGCAGCATACGCTTCCCTCCTGGTATTATACATTTATTGATGCTGTGCCCAAGCATGGTGCCGTCAGCTTACACTCTCAGAACAGATGGCGATCACAGATGGCTTTCTCCAAAACTGTTTATTCATTTGAAGTGAATGAAGACACAGTACCAGGTTTGTCATCTGTGGCCTTTCCCCATGTAAATTAGGCTCAAATACATGTAGCAGCAGTTATTTTAAGCATTACATGATTGTTTTTGAAATATTATTATGTAACTTGGGATATTAGATTTATAATATAATCACTTCTAATATTTAGGATAGTTTTGTTGCAAAATGTTTTCTTTTCATTCCACAGTTACTAGATTACCCAGTGATTATGCGTTATCCATGTGTTGACAGGAACAGTTGTGGGAAAGGTGGAAACGGTGGTTGAGAGTCTCACGCCTATCACATACTTGGTGCAGGAGGATGACGGAGAGAACCTGTTCCTCCTCAGCCCCCTCTCAGGGGAGTTCCTATTATCCCGCAGACTGGATTTCGAAGCACAAAGATTCTACATACTCACTGTGGTGGTGCAGCAGGGGGATTCACAGGTGTCCAGTGTCAGGGTGTACTTCAATGTCCTGGATGTGAATGACAACCCCCCTGTTTTCAGTCAGGATACCTTTTCTGTGTCATTAGTGGAAGACGCACGGGCTGGTACTTGCTTCCTTTCTTTGAATGTGTCAGATAAAGATGATGGTAAGTGCAATACTACACTTACATTATAAATATAACATTCATCCAACATTGAGCAGATGTCATCATATATGTATCTTCAGAAAACAATGAAGTAATCATTGATCAAAGGTATCAACACTTACAATGCAAAGCAATATGATTAACAGTCAGAAAGAACCCCAAAATGATCAAAATGCTGCACGGCATAGAATAAAAACACATTGTGGCAGAAAACAGGTTTTTTTTCCTCCCTGAAAAAAGAAACCTGCATGTTTAGGGTCCATGGCCATGACTTTTAGGAACTGGCCTTACATCTGATACAGATGTATCAGATATATCAGATAGGTAAAGCACCTTACATATCTTAAGCAGTATCTACATGTTTAATTAGCATTGTTGATAAAATTCATAATATTCTAACAACACGGGTTCTCAGCTCCCCGACCCACAAAGCTGGCAAGGTGTTTGACCTCGTTCTTGTCTGAAACTGTGCCACCGAATGCCTTACAATCACACCTCTAAACATGTCTATCCACTATTTCATCCAATTCACAGTATGACTACAGGAAAAGCCCATTGTAACAGCACCTTATATCTCACTCCGCAACCTTTTTCCCACTCACTTTGCATCAGTGGTAGCCTCCGCTCTACCTCCCCTCATAATGATCATTGAATTAGCAGTGCCACTGACTCAAGGAATTAAAATTTCCACTTTTAAAGTTCTACTAAATCCTCCTCCACCACCAACAAACTTGTCTGCTGATACCTTTGCTCAGAATCAGAAGAATCAGAAGGAGCTTTATTGCCAAGTAGTGTTTTACACATCAATTTGGTGTGGTGATAAGGTGCTATATGTAGACAAACATACAGTTGACATAAATAAATGTAGAAATTCGTCTGTGCCATGCAGAAGTAACGCAATGGAAGAGAACATTGTGTACATATAAATATATAAACTGACAACATAAAAATATAACACATAAAATCAACAATCAACAACAAATATGTGCAACGTGCCAGGTCTTTGCCCAACATGAGATGAAACAGTATTTACATGTGCAGAGACATTTGTATCATTTGCAAGGGGGGGGAGTGTCAGACGGGGACCTGGGCCTTGTTAATGAGGCTAGTTGCAGACGGGAAGAAGCTTTTTTTGTGGCGAGAGCTTTTGGTCCTGATGGAGGAAACAAACCCCGGAAACAAACTGAAACAGTTTGTGTCCGGGGTGGGAGGAGTCAGCTGCAATCTTTCCTGCTCGCCTCAGAGTCCTCGAGGAGTACAGGTCCAGAAGAGAACGAAGATTGCAGGCAATCACCTTCTCTGCAGAGCGAATGATGCACTGCAGCCTGCCCTTGTCCCTGGCAGTGGCAGCAGCGTACCAGATGGTGATGGAAGAAGTGTAGAAGTGCACCATCATTGTCTTTGGCAGGCTGAATTCTTCAGCTGCGCGTGTGCGATGTGCGTAAACCCATACTCTGTGGAAAAGTCTCTGAACAATTCACAGCTGTATTGTGGTCCATTATCAGACAAACTGTGTCCTGTATCCCGTGGCGGCTAAATGCTTCTTTCAGAGCTGCAATGACTGTGTTGGCTGAGGCAATGTGGAGATGGTCAACTTTGATATAATGTGAGAAATAATCCACTATAAGGAGATAAGTCTTCTTCTCCCAGAAGTCTGTACCCACTCTTTGCCAGGGTCTCTCCTGTACCGGTGTGGTCAGCAAAGGCGCTCTGTGCTCTGCCCTGTGCTGTGAGCATGTGTTACAGTTCCCCACCAGCTGACTGATGTGTACAGACAGTCCTGGCCACCAGACGGACTGGCATGCTCTCGCTCTGCACTTGACAATACCTTGATGGCCACTATGGAGGTTGTTGAGGATTTCTTGTCTCATGTCGTGGGGAATGACGATTCTTTGGCCCCTGAGAAGCAGCTCTCCTGCTAACGTTAGTGTCGCTCTTTCACACAGCCGAATCTTTCCTGGCTGAGCCTTTGACGCCACAACCATGCCTGCGCACCAGGATGTGGGCTGGGTCACCTTTGAAATCACCCCCATGTCCTCCATACGCTTCAGCTCCGCCTTCACCTTTTCTCGCAGTGGTAGAGGCAGGCGGCGTGGGGATGACAGCACCTGGCTCCAGTTCTATTTTGTAGGGCTCCTTTAATTTTCCCAATCCTGAAAACACTGTAGGGTACCGAGTCTTAAAATCCTCTTGCTGGGCTTGTACAATGTGGACACGCCTTATTAGCTTGAGTGCTTTTATAGCAGGAAGGCCCAGTAGCGCCTTAGTCAAACCTTCAACAACATAAATGTCTTGTTCTGTTGTTACCTTTTTGTGACTCAGCTCACCTTTAAAGCGTTCTTTTACTTCTAGTCTGTAGTTTCCTGGTCCATACAGCACTTTGAGTGGCAGTTGCAGTGTCCCATGCTTTTTAATGGAGTAGCTGCTGCTTGGAATTGCTGTAACATTTGCTCCAGTATCCAATTTGAAAACAGTTGCTTCTCCATTTTACTGCACTGTCTCTATCCACTTGTCCTCTTCCTCAGAGCCCACTTCTCCAAGGAAAGCAAAATCCTCCTCTTATTTGCTCCCCATATGTGCCTCTGAGATGTCATAGACCCCACCAGTCGATCTGCATTTCTTTACAAAGTGACAACTCCTGCACTCTGCATCACGGGCGGGGCAGTCCTTCCAAAGATGTTTCTTTGACAGTCCGCACCTGCTGCATTCAGATGTCTTTGTATCAGGCTTATCTTTGGCCGCTTTGCGCCATTTTGTGTGTTTTTGATTTATAGCTTCAACCTGTCCGGTCTCTCGCTCTGTCCCTCGCAACACTGGCTGCTGTTTTTTCACTGCTGCACTCTGTCTCACTCTTGTAATAGCTTTTGCTAGTGTCAAATCAGCGTCCAACTGTAGACTTTCTGATAACTTAGCATCTCTAATGCCGACCACAATTCGGTCCCTTATTAACTGTTCTCTCAGGACCCCAAATTCACAGTGTTCGGCCAGTGTGTGCACCGCTGTTATAAAGGACTCAATGCTCTCACCGGGCTCTTGGTTTCGTCTGTTGAAGCTGGCACGTGCTTGGCAGGAACCTTTACTCGGAACATGTGTGTCACCTTCAAGACAGTCCGTGTGTGATCGTGAAACTTCAGTTCCTTTACAGAACACTCCACAGGGGTGACCCAAGGCTCAGTGCTAGGGCCCCTTCTCTTCTCAGTTCACACCACATCACTGAATCCAATCATTCGCTCCCATGGCTTCTCTTACCACTGCTATGCAGACAATACGCAGCTCTACCTATCCTTCCCACCCAAGGACCCCAGCGTCTTGGCGCGGATCTCGGACTGTCTCTCGGGCATATCCGCATGGATGAAGGCTTGTCACCTCCAACTAAACCTCTCTAAGATGGAACTCTTGGTCATTCCAGCCAAGCAATCTATCTACCACAACATCAAACCACAAATTGACTCCTCAACCATCACTCCAACCAGGGTGGTGAGAAACTTGGGTGTCCTTTTCAGACTATGTTGCTGCTGTCTCTTGTTCATGCTGCTTCACTCTATACAACATAAGGAGAATCAGATCCTACCTCACTCAGTACGCCACCCAGCTTCTGGTACAGGCCATGGTTATCTCTCGCCTCGACTATTGCAATGCCCTTCTAGTAGGTGTTCCAGCTTGTGCGTTGAAACGATTCAAATGGTTCAGAACGCAGCAGCAGTTTGGTTTTTGATCAGCCCAAAAGGACGCATGTCACTCCATTACTGAGTGACCTCCACTGGCTACCCGTAGCCTCCCGAATCAAATTCAAGTCACTAATGGTTGCATACAGAGCTACTACTGGGTTTGCACCCATCTACCTAAATTCAATAATACAAGGTTATGTTCCTTCTCGGCCACTACGCTCCTCCAACGAACGCCGCCTGGCTCTGCCATCCTTACACACAAAGCAATCTCAGTCCCGGCTGTTCTCATCTGTGACACCACGATGATGGAATGAGCTACCACATGCCATCAGAGCAGGGGCGTCCCTCTCTAACTTCAAGAAGCTCTTGAAAACTCATCTCTTCTGAGAACACTTTCTCTTATAACACCTCTAACTCCTAACCTCTAACATGCACTTCCTGTGCTCTTCTTCTATCCCCTTACAATTATCCTGTATTGATTGCACTTTTTGTTAACTCTTACTTCTTTCCCTAGCTATTTACCCCATTGATGCGATATGTGGTAGCTCTAACTAGTATTTATTAGTGCTCTTACAACTATGTATTGTCAGTTGTAGTTCTCATGCAGAATTTGATGCTTTGTTGATGTTTGTATGTTGTTCCTGAAATGTAAGCCGCTTTGGATAAAAGCATGTGCCAAATTAGTGAATGTAAATGTATTTAATTTATGTAAAGCTAAAAGCACATTTTAATGTTTTTGAGAAGGAATGTTATTATTTAAAAATTTTTACATGAATAGTTTAAAATTTATTCATGCTTTCTACTTTCTTTTAAGATTTATTGGTCTATCCAATTAATAGGGGTCAAAGCAACAATCCTGCCTACATTGGACACAGAATGGCGACAAACTAATGAGATGTTATAGCCTTGTATGATAGCTATTCTTTATTCAAAATTTATACACTTTCTGTACCCAGGAATGAACAATTTAGCTCCATTAATTGGATTGACCTGTACATGGTGAGCAGTGTGGGGGGTAAAAGCATGGATGACTGTGAAAATTAAACCTTCCAAGTTGAGTGTGAAAAGGCATAATTTATATTCACACATTCCTTGGCTTTACATGCCACATTTGGCAAGTCCAATCTAGACATGAATTTTGTTTATTGTTTTGATAATTAATTTATTTGATTGGGTATTGCTGAAAATGCTGCTTGAAAGATTCATGTTTAGTTGGAGGCACAAAGTCTTAGAAGCAAACGGGTCTTAGTATCGGCAATGTGCAGTGTGTTCTTTGATTTATATATTGTCCACCTAGCCATTATGAGAAGGACATTCTATAATTTCTGATAACACCACGTATTATCTTTTCCACTCCAGGTGACAATGGACACTTGAAACTGAGAGTGGTCGGTGGAGATGAAGAGGAAGTGTTCTTTGTAAACCCAGTTGGTAATTTATGCCTGAACAAAGAATTAGACAGAGAGAGACAACCCCTCTACAATCTGACTGTGACAGCTAATGACTGTGTCCAGCCTGTGTCTTTACAGTTCACCAGCACAGGACGTGTAATTGTGGTGGTTGATGACATCAATGACAATGCTCCATTGTTTGTGTCAGCCAAAATAGTCAGTATACCAGAGGACACTGCGCTTCATTCTGTTATAATGACTGTACATGCTGAGGATGAAGACATAGGATCCAACGGGGAAGTTTTATATTATTTAAATAACATTTCTTATGGAGTTTTTAGCATTGATAACAGAAGTGGAACAATATACCTGGAGGATGCATTAGACAGAGAAGAGGTAGATACCATAACTATTACAGTGACAGCCACTGATAAAGGCTCACCCAGGATGGCAACCAGTATGAATATCACGGTGTACATTGAGGATGCAAATGACCATTACCCTGAGTTCTCACAAAGAAGCTACAGCCTGACAGTCAGAGAGGACACCCCCAGAGGAACAAGCCTGTTTCAAGTTCAGGCTCTTGATCGAGACATCGGGATAAATGGACAAGTACGCTATAAATTGACCCAGAGCGCTCCGTTTGTGGTAGACACAGTTCTAGGCGTCATCACAGTCATGGATAAACTGGACAGGGAAAAAGATTCAAACTACACCTTAATCATATCAGCTGTAGATCAGGGAAATATGCCTAGATCTGCTACTGCAGCCATCACTGTCACAGTGCTGGATGTCAATGATTTTGCACCCCTCTTTACTCCAGAAACACTTACCATACATGTAATGGAGAATGTGGAGGACCCCTCTCAGCTAACGCATCAGGTACTACTGGTCTTGTTAACCAAAGAGTTCACTGAATGATGATTACAGAATGTTCTGACGTTAATTTGTAGATTGTTTGTCTTTTTTTTAACCAGGTCTCAGCTTTGGATGAAGATTTAGGAGTCAACAGCCAGCTTACCTATTTTATACAGAAAGGAAATGATAGTGGTTTGTTCTCCATCACTTCCAGTGGCACATTTAAAATTTTGCACAGCCTGGACAGAGAGAGGGTATCACTGTACTTTGTTACCATCATTGCTGTTGATTCAGGTGATTTACACCAAAGCTTAAATGCGATAAACTTTATATTATGTTCTGTAAACCTTTTACTGCCAGTGTCATTACAAACTGTTTGATAATTGATTATTTATTTTGTCATTTAAAGGATTACCACCTCTAACAGGTACTCTAACTGTACATGTCATAGTGGATGATAACAATGATAACCGTCCAGAGTTTACTGAGGAAGTCTACAACACCATAGTGTCTGAGGACAGTTCTATAGGCACTGTGTTTGCCATGATAACAGCATCTGACATTGATGAGGGTGTGAGTGGGGAAATAAGGTAAAATGTCAAAAAAATAGAGTGGTACAAGTAACACTGTCCATGATTTATCCTTGAGAAATTATGCTAAAGTTACACATGTTTTTCTGTGACCTACTTCAGTATCATTAGGATCAACATTTCTTACTCAGTAGTCTTTCTTCTGTATTTGCTGAATATACTGCTTAGGAGCAACTGGAAAACACTCCACATTATGTTGATTTATACATTATAATCAGCTATTTCAATCTCTTTTAGGTATTCCATGGAGAACCGCGATGTGCCTTTCGCCATTGACGAAACATCTGGAGAGCTGTTTACAATCGATGTCCTTGACAGGGAGACAGTAGCCATTTACAGGTTGATGGTGATCGGCAGTGATAAGCATCCTACTCAGCCTCTGTCAAGCTCAGTGCTTATTACTGTGCTCATTGGAGATATTAACGACCACTGGCCCCAGTTTTTGAACAGCCCATATGTGGCCTATGTGCCCACCGAGATGGCTCCAGGTGAGCGTTACTTCCATTTTTACTTCCACTTGACAGTTATATTATTTCCTATATCCTGGATTTGTTTTTGTTTGTCCTACAGGCTCAGTTGTTTGTGCAGTACGAGCAACAGATGGAGATACTGAGATGAATGCAGAACTACATTATTCATTATATGGACAAAGTTCAGATCTGTTTTCCATTGATCCATACAGCGGTGCTGTATTCACTTCAAGAGCTCTCCGGAAATGGGAAGATATAATTGTCAATGTACATGTGGAAGATGCTGGAGAAAATCCTAAATTTGACATCTCTACCATCAGTATCAGGTTTCAGAACATATCTGAGTTTCCAGCGATGAATGTGGACATTCTGAGTTATTCCCTCTTTGAGGACGAGCCAGTGGGAACATTAGTGGCAGTTGTCTCTGCAGCGAGCAGCCGAGCTGAACCCATCTCTTTTTATCTAGCTTCTGGAAACTATGAAGACATGTTTCATGTGGAGCAGTTAAGTGGAGCATTGACAGTGGAGAACCCTCTGGATTATGAAAACAAAAAGGAGTTCACTTTGTTGATCGAAGCCAGAGACTCTGGCACACCTCCTTTCTCGTCATTTGCAGAAATTCACATAAACATCAGTGATGTAAATGATAACTTCCCTCAGTTCACCCAAGTCGAGTACAAGTGTGAGGTTTTTGAGAACTCCCCGCCATCCTGGGTTTGTGATGTTCTTGCCATTGACACTGATTCAGGCAGTTATGGCATAGTGCAATACAACATAACAGAAGGAAACACTAATAATTTTTTCACAATTGACCCTGAAATTGGATTACTGAGCACCACTACAAGTTTAGATAGAGAAAATATCCCTGAATTCAATTTAACAGTTGAAGCTGCAGAACTAAACAACCCTCTTCATAAAGACAGAGCAACTGTTATTGTTGTTGTTTTAGACAGAAATGACAACGCTCCTCGTTTTTCACAGGTTTTTCTCACAGAAGTATCTGAGGATTCCCCTGTTGGACACACAGTTATCCAAATCACCTCAACTGATGATGACACAGGTGCCAATGCAGTAATTAATTACTCCATAATTTACCAAAGTGATGATATGCTATTTAATATTGACTTCACCACTGGCTACATCACTGTTAAAAGACTTCTGGACAGGGAGATGCAGGATCATTACATCTTGAAAGTAAATGCAAATGATTCAGCATGGAGCATGAGCACTGATGTCACTATCATCATTGCAGATGTCAATGATAATAGACCAGTATTTTCTGATCATAATTACACTGTTGTCCTCCCTGAAACAAAAGATAAAGCGGTGTTTGTTATGCAGGTTCTTGCTACAGATGCAGATATGGGGCAAAACTGCGAGATTTTGTATGTTATTGAAGCTTCGAATGAGGAGTTTTGGGTGAACGCTTCCTCTGGTGAAATCTATACAAAGCAGGCATTGATGTTGCATAATACTGCTTTTGAAATCTACCAATTTACAGTAATTGCATTTGACCGTGGCAGTGTTCCCCTGTACAGTAATGCCACTGTCACAGTGAGATTAGAACCATACAACTACTACCCACCAATGTTTTTACCTTTGCAGCCTCTGATTGCTATCCCATATCACACGGCTGTTGGTACTGAGGTGGTCCAGTTTACAGCAGTAGATCATGAGGGTATTGAATATATCTTGAATGGAGGTAATGCGTCTGATTTCTTCTGGATCCAATCTGACAGTGGAAAAGTAATGTTAAATCAAAGTTTGATTGAGAGTGTAAATTTGTTTTTCACCTTATTAGTTACGGCACAAGATCAGGGCTTCCCCTCTTTATCATCACAGACTGAAATCACTTTTGAAATTACTGAAAGGAATCAATTTTCTCCAAGCTTTAGAGAGCCACATGTCACTTTCTCTGTTCCAGAGGACTTGTCAGTAGGATCGGTAATTGGGAAAATTCAAGCCCAAGATCAGGATTATGGTCTCAATGGTGCCATCATGTATGCTATTACCCCAGAAAATCTATATTTACCATTCTCTGTAGGAGACTCCTCTGGGCTGTTAATACTGATTAGAGAGCTTGACTTTGAAACAGAAGGTATTTATCATCTCCAAATTAAAGCCATTGATGGTGGCTGGGTCTCTAAAACTGGCATGTTAAATGTTACTGTGGTAATTATGGATGTGAATGACAATCCTCCAGTATTTTCCTCCTCAGAGTATACCATTTCAGTGCCTGAAAACTCAGAAAGTGGCACACATGTCCTAGATGTGAAGGCTGCTGATGCTGATTCAGGCACAAATGCACAAATATTCTACTCTGTTATTGCTGGCCATGTAGATAAATTTGCCATTAATTCAAGAAATGGCACAATCACCACTTTGGATGTCTTTGATTATGAGCGAGAGAAGATCTTTGATGTAACAATCAAAGCTACAAACATTGGTAGTCATACTTTACTTAGTTTGGCCCATGTTGTCATACAAGTCTCAGATGTTAATGAGTCCACACCTACATTCAGGAAAAAGGAATTTAACTTTTCAGTATTTAAAAATGCACCTGTTGGAACTAGGATTGGAAAAGTAACAGCTACAGATGATGACCAAGGCTCTGAAGGTCAGGTGTTTTACCTGATGTTTGGTCAAAACAAATACATGGGCTTTGAAATCAACCAACTTTCTGGAGAAATATACACAACTGGCAGTTTGAGGAACCATGGCAACAGTCACATATTCTTAAAAGTTCTGGCGAAGAACTACGGTATTATTACTGGCATGGATGTAGATGAGACTTTGGTCCACATCAGTATCATTGACACGAACGATGCCCCCATATTCACCTCTGCACTTTATTTGGCGAGTGTGACAGAAGACAGTCCAGTTGGGGCGTCTGTGATAACTGTGAGTGCTATGGATCAGGACTCCATTTTAGACTGGAATCGTTTCTTCTTCAGTATTGAAAATGGAAACACAAACTTCTCTTTTGCCGTGGATCCATCCAGTGGTGTTATTTCAGTAAACTCTTTACTTGACAGAGAACTGTTGCCAGTTTATAATTTGACTGTTACAGCCACTGATAATGGCTCTCCACCAGCCACTGGGACAACTAATGTCATTGTGACTATTGATGACGTTAACGACAACGCTCCCAAACTCACATTCACTGAGGCTCAAGTGAAGGAAAATCAGCCTCAAGGCACCATAGTTGCCAGATTAAATGCATCTGATTCTGATTTGCCGCCAAACCAGGGACCTTTTACTTACTGGTTGGTAAATCCTTCAGCAGGTAGTGCTTTTTCACTGACTGCTAATGGAGTTTTATTTACCACACGGACTATTGATCGGGAAGAAATCTCTGCATATCAAGTCCTGGTGGTTGTTAGGGATGCAGGGATCCCTCTGATGTCATCAACAACAATGATTCACATCACAATTTTGGATGAAAACGATAACCCTTCATTGCCTAGAAACATCTTCATAGAGGTGAAATATTTTGGCAGTTCTTTCCATGGAGGCATGGTCGGAAATGTCCATCCCGAGGATCCGGATAAGTCTGATACGTTCAACTGCGCCATCAAAAGTGGCCCACTTAATATGTTTACATTAGCTAATGGCAGCTGCGAGCTGTGGTCGTCTCCTTTTCAAGGCGAGGCTACATTTAACATCACTATTGAAGCTACAGACCAGCTTCACTTCCCAGTCAACAACAGCATATATGTAAACTACAAAGGGTTCACAAATGCTTCTATTGACAGCTGCATATTATTCTATGTGTCATCATCCTCAATGGAAGAGTTTTTGTCTAATAAGTATTTGCGATTTGTGAAAGCTCTGGACAGTCTTTTTAATCTACAGGCCTCTAAGACTCATGTATTTGGAATGAAACATATTGGTAGTGAAATCCTTCTATTGGCTGCAGTTAAAAATTACAACGGTCAATATCTTAGCAGAGAGGTGGCCAGCGGTATTTCTACAGGCCATAAGAAATTACTGGAGGCTCAGAGCAATGTAACGATTTCTCACATCACCAGTGATCCATGTCTCACCAGCCCTTGTCTAAACGGGGCAACATGCAACAAAAACATTTACATCAGCCAGGATGTTGCTGTTCTGGAAAGCACGGTGGTCATCTTTGTGTCACCACAGAAAGATTTTAATTGTACTTGTCCAGATGGCTTCACCGGGACACTGTGTGAAGATGACATTGATGAATGTAAGGTGAATCCCTGCGAGAATAAAGGCACATGTGTAAATACTCCAGGAAGTTTCTACTGTCACTGTCAGAGTGGCTTCTCTGGCTCTGTCTGCTCTAATGATGTAGATGAATGCCTGAAGGTGAAGTGCCAAAACGGAGGAACATGTATTCCCACTCCTGATAGGTATCACTGTCACTGTGTGCTGGGATTTGAAGGTAGACTTTGGTATATTAAAAAAACACTTTATTCTGTATTAATAGATTCCAGAATATCTTTAAAGTCTGGGCTTTATTTGCTTTTTTCAGGAGAAATGTGTGAGCAGTTCATAGACCACTGTAGATCAACCCCCTGTATTCAGGGCAGCTGCATAAATTCACAGATAGGATTCTCTTGTCATTGTCCCTTTGGTAAGAATAATGCATAAAGAAGGACCTTTGAAGTAAAAGTTCAACATTTTGGGATTTATTTTATTTGCTTTTATGTACAGAGTTGAGAAGATCAATACCACTCTCACATTTGTCTGTTAAATTAATTAAAAGGCTATAGCCAGGTTAGGTCAGCTGGTTATATTTGTAGTGCCCGACTTTGTCTTGGCCAGGCCTTTGCTAGGCAACTAGTGGAGACACCAGTCACCGCTATACTGGTCGAATAGCTTCGGAACCCCTGCTCCCCACACCTTTCCCAACATCAGAATTAGGGAGGGGGCTGTGCCCTACAATTTGTGTAACTTTTGTAATTTTTGCACAGTTTTTGAAGTTACATTCAAGATGCTGGTGGATTTAGTTTCCTCTGGACAGAGCAAGGCTAGATGTTTCACCCTTGTTTCTAGTCTTTGTGCTAAACTAAGCTAACCAGCTGCTAGCTGTAGCCTTATGTCCAATTGACAGAATATGAACGCGGTATCGATCTTCTTATCCAACTTTCCCCCCAAAATCAAATGGGTGTAATTTGCTAAATGTTGAACTATTCCTTTAAATTTCATGAAATAAACCCCAACTTTTCAAAGATACAATTGAACAATTTATTTATTAAAATATAGTAACACTATGTGAATCTTTATTTTAGGAGTCAGTGGAGTCCACTGCGAGGAGCACAGTTATGGCTTTGAGGAGCTGTCCTTCATGGAGTTTCCCCCACTGGATCGCAGGACAAATTTAATCTCTGTAGAGTTTGCAACAGTGCAGAGGAACTCCCTGCTCCTGTACAACCCTGGAGGACCATCCAGCAGAGAGTTCTTTGCATTGGAGATAGTGGATGGGACCATACATCTCTCTTATGACCTGGGTTCCGGACCTGTGAGGCTGCAAACAAACAAGAAAGTGGCTGATGGATATTTTCACCGTGTCACTGCAAGGAGAATTGGAAATGTGAGTTTACATACACAGTGTTAATCAGATGGCATGTTTATGTTGGAAGTGAAAGAGTTGAATCTGGAAGACTGACGCACTATTTGCATTTAACAGATGGGTTCTTTGCATGTGGACAACTGTACAGATGAGAACGATGGATTTTGTTTTTCTAAGAGTGATGGCAGAAGCTTAGAGAGGTAGCAGTGAACTCTTTGAACTTTCCCATAATTCATCATTTCTGTTTTTAACATTGTGATCTTTATTAATGCCCTCTTTATGTCTGTATTTACAATCAGGACACTAGATGTAAGCAGTAATATGACATTTGGGGGACTGAGGACTTTTGAATCTATTTTACTACATCCCGCTCAGATAAAAACCCATGACTTTGTCGGATGTATTTATAGCATTCATGTCAATGGCATCCTCTTGAGACCTTCAATGGCCCTTACAACATTTAATATTCTTGATAGGTAAGCATTTGAAAATGAAAATGAGGTTTAAAAACTATATTATCAACTTCTTTACACAATGCAGAAAATGTCTCTGTTACGTTGTACATGTCTACATTTCAGCAAATTGTCTTTTTAACATACTTTTGTTTTATAAAGGTGTCCTCGGGCAACACCGTCACCATGTCACAGCAACCCATGTAAGAACGGCGGAATGTGCCATGACCTTTGGTCTGACTATCTTTGTGAATGCAAAAGGCCTTTTACTGGAAGCAACTGTGACAAAGGTAAAGATACCTTTTAATGTACAGGACAGATTTTGTTGTGTTAACTTCATTATTTTCATTTTCTTTCTTTTTCAATAGAAATGTCAGAGGAGCTTGTGTTGCGATTTAATGGAAATGACTACATTGAGTATGTTGTCAAGGAGCGATTCAGGAGAGACTACCTGCTAAAAGACTTGCTGGATGTTGAAAAAGAGGGAAACACCAGAGAACTCAGAGTGATTAACATTAAGTTCAAGACTCAAGATAATGGAGTGTTAATGTTTGTTGTTGGACAGACAGGATACATTATGATACATGTAGGTATGAAATACTTTTATCCACAGATTTACTTATTTTGTATTTTGTTTGAGGTGTAATTGTGTTTTTTTTCTGTGTAATTCAGGTAAAAGACGGAAAGCCTGTGTTCATTTCAAAAGATACACTGTCAGCACACCTGTCAGAGTTCACAGTTGACTCTTCTGTGGCTGACGGGGTCTGGCATGTTCTCTCCTTGACCAGCAATGGACAGAACATTTTTCTGCTTCTGGATGGTAAACCAGTCTTGAACATCACTGACCAAAGTATGGATCTCACTCCTGTTAATGTGGAAAAGATTATTTTTGGTGCATCTCTGACAGCTGATTCAAAGCTTCAACAGCCAGGTAAATATACAGTAATCATTGCTGACAAATGAAATCTTTTATGGAATGTTAATGTGTGAAGCACAACTGTACATTCACTGTTAAGCAGGGCAATTCAAACCAAGATGTGTCTGTGCAGGTGTATCATACAAGACATGTTGACAGATAAATAAGTTACGCGAAAAGAGCATCAATAAATATGTAATAAGTATTTACTGAAGTTATGATGTCAATAACTATGTTTCTTAGAAAATATTGTCAACAAGTTTTCTTGTTGTGTCTTGCCCACTGCTGAAATCTCTCGCTTTCCTTATCCTCAGCTGATGAGGGTCTTACATGGTAATATATTGATTTATTTTAGGTTATCTCTTAGGTTGGTGTGGTAATTAAGCATGTGAGTTTGTACTATATTCGGCCCTTTCCTTTATATCTAATACAAACTTGTAGCAAAATTACTTAAATGACGAGAAAACGGCAAACGATATGTCCGCTTTTTTAGCAGATTACTCTAAATACAACCTGTATGTGTGAACTTGAAATGGTCAGCTGACATTTTGTTTTTTAGCAATTTCCATTCTGTTTATGACAGGTTTCACTGGATGTTTGAAGTATTTCAATGTGACTGGTTACACTCTGCCTATCAGTGGACACAGTGTGATGGTGGACGTATGGCCAAGCTTGACTCTTGTCCAGTCGAGCTGCAGCTCTCCAGGAGTATGCTTCTCCTCCCCCTGCTCTGAGGAGGACACAGCCAGGAGGGGTTGTCAGTCTGCACACTGTCAAAACCGGTGGAGGTGTGGACCTGCTGTGCAGAACAGGTCGTGTATCTGTTTATATAATGTCTCTGGCCACACCTGTGACACCTGCATCTCTACAACAGAGAGCCGTGATCGATGCTCTGAGGCGCAGGGCAGTGTGCCTATGTGGCTCACAGCTGTGATTCTTCCTCTAATCTCCATCCTGGTGATTATAGGAATGTTTGTTGCCCTTTACAAAGTTAGGCGGTCAAAATGTCAGAGTGATAGCTCGCCACAGGAAACGGAGCAAGGAACAGACAACTTAACATTTCGCTTTGATGACAACAGAATGCTCACTGATACTGCATCTGCAGGAAAAGAGAAACAACATGACTCGATGAGTGCTGATCAGCAGAGGTTAAGTGTGGAGTTTTACTGTGATACCAGTCTGTGTCAGCCAGTGCCAAACAGTGAGCTAGAGTATTATGAAATTGGCAGCATCTCAAGTGCTTTTCATTCAGACACTGCCTCACTGAAGCTCAGCTGGCACAAGCATTCGTACAGCAAAAAGTGTGTGAAATCTGACCCTAAACAGTGGGGAGATCTGAGGATGCTGTTAGCAGGATTTAAGAAAGAACGCACCTGCGAAGAGAGGGAAAAAAGTCCTACCAAACCTCAAAATGTGGCCCTAAAGAAGCAGTTGTTGAACAAGAGTGATGCAGAGCAGTCTCAGTCTTGTTACAAGAAGAGGTTCCCACAACCAGAGTTCATGGAACCTGTACAATGCCTCACTTTTGAAGAAATATGTAAACTAAACACTCCCCTGGAGCAAAAAATGTCACAACAAGCATCCCTAAGGTCCAGACCTAGCAAGTCCACCACAATGATTGATGTGTCATCTGACAGTGAAACAGACAGCACATTCATTGGCTCGCAGTCAGAGTGCGGACAGTTTTCTATCATCAGCACCAGAAATTGTATACATGACCAATCATCCCCATCAGTGTACAGCTTCAGACAACAAGACATCTTGCCTGTCAGCTCATTCTTAAAACACACCTGTCACTGTGCTGCAGGTCAACATGAAGCTGAGAGTGCTCCCATCAGTATGTTTGAGCAATGGGAAAATATTTTAAATATGCACATACCTTTTAGCAGCTATGCTTCAGTATATGAGGATATTGCATGTCTACCCACTGAATCCAGCCATAGCTATGATATACAAAGCGACATAGAGGAAACTATTTGATGATTGTTATATAGGTATAGCTAATGGGTCAGGTGGCAGTCTGTTACTTGATTTAAGAAGAAGAAGATAGAAGAAGATATACTTTATAAATCCTGCCAGGGGAAACTCAATGTTTTCACTCTGTTGTTATTATGTTAGTATTTTCACACAGGTCCAAAAGACACACACATGCATAAACAGGACCCATAGCAACACACAGAGAGATGTCAGAGTGAGGGGGCTACCACTCAGTGCGGCGCACCGAGCAGTTGGGGGTTCAGGGGCTTGCTCCTTCGGCAGTGCCCAGGAGGTGAACTGGCACCTCTCCAGCTACCAGTCCACACTCCTCAACTCTGTTCCAAGCTGGATTCAAACCGGTGACCCTCTGGTTCACAGCCTAAACTTTACAGACTGAGCTACTGCTGCCCCAAATAAATCATTTTAAAACATGGAAAACACAAAGTTTTAGTTTTACTGTATGTTTTCACCTAGACCAAAACTCTTGATCTTTTCATGTTTACTGTCACTGTCATGTCACTTCTTGCTGGTTTTCTCTGTAGACTAATCTGATTACAATTCATTTTTACATCTTCAGATTGCTGCTGATGTTAAAAATATAAAAGGCATGTAAAGTATTAATTTTTTACTAATTGTTCTATATATCTAGTCTTTGTGTTTCTTCAGTTACCTTTGCATTAATTGATAAATTAAAGATGGATGCTGTTTCCAGATCGGTTTCTTCTATATTATAACATGCCAAGTTAAAACACATGCATTTTGAATAGCTAAAAGGCATTTTCCCAAAGACCAATAGAGTGGCCGCATTCCCTGTGCCAATTCACATTTGCATGCTTGCAACAAACCCTCACAATTATAGTTAGAATTGGAATGCCCCTTTTCAAGCAGTGTCAAGCGCTCTAAAAAATCATATAATCAAAAGAGTTGTTTTTAAAAATCTGGGACAATAAAGTGCACAAAACCTATAAGCAAACAGATACATTGTACAATGTCCAGGAAATTAGCCTGCAAATCAGTTTCTCAATCTCAATTGCAAATCTTTCAGATGCATACTTACATACATACAAACACGAAGGGAGTTTTTTTTAATGAATTATAAGGTAACTGTAATGAAGTGTAGACAATTATTCTCAGTCTGTTATATTATTTATTTAACATTTAATTGTGCAGGTCACAGTTTTAGATTTCAAGAATTATTCAGATACAAGATGAATTTATGTCAGAAAAAGAGTTGATTTGATTTTCAACTGAAGTGGTATATAAGCAGGACTGTACATAGCACTTGATGTCATACTGTCAGTTTTCACTCTGCATTTTAAAGCACATTTTAAAATAAAAATAACTAATGGAATAAACATGAACTCCATTAAAATTCACTCGTCAACATTATGTTCCACATACCTAGGGGAATGTTCTTTTAATTTTATTTTACATATTGTAAAAATTCTAGCAGTGCTAACCAGTCCCAAAATGTATGCTTACTTTTCTATTTTTAAATCTCTGCATTAAAGCTTCTTTAATGTCCTTTGTCTTGAAACAGTATATCATTGGATTAACTACAGGCGGTATCAAGCTGTACAACATGGTAATAACAATGCGGGCGTCAGTACTGAAACTGTATCCCAAATAGTGAGCAAGATAAACAAAACATCTTGGCACATAATAAAGGCAGGTAATAAAGATCTGAGGAGCAAAAGTGG